TCGCCCTCACTGCCTCCTTCACCTAAAATCGCCTTTCTCCAAATTCCCCTAAATCGCCCTGAAAATGTGCCTAAAATAATCCCCCTTTACTTCTTTTAACCCTCCCCTAATCCACCTTTAATCCAACTACAATGACCATTATAATGACGTTCATTACCTTACCGATGATGCCAGGGGGAAAGCCTTGGATGATATTGATGCCCACCGTATCTCTCTTGGTCAGCTTGCTGGACAACTTTCGGATTTTATTGGCGGCGGAGAGGAAGTCAAGAAAGCGATTTTGAATGGTTTGCACAGTAATGTAACTCAGCTTGAAAAGCTTGTTAAAACATCTTGCGGAGATAAGGGGTGTTGTAAGGATGCTGTGAATTTCCGTGTTGGACCTCTTAAAAATCTTCAAGAGCAATTTAATGACATTGATAAAATTGAGAGAGAAATTGATGGCCTTAAAAATGAAATTGCTGAAAAAAGGAAGGCGTCCGAAGGGACGCCGCCCGGCAGTGATACTGAGATTCAGAAGCTTACAAGGGAAATTGAAGAAAAAAAATTGAAGCTTGACGAGCAAAAAAGGCTTGTTGATCAGCAAATTAATAACCTTAATGGTGCTTTAAATGAGTTTAATAAGAAATTTTCTCGACAAGTCTCTACACTTACTGCAAGCGTAAGACAGTGTGAAGAGGAAATTGAGCGGTATAAAGAGAGTGAAAAGGCCTCTAAAAAAGATCTTAAAGATGCAGATATCTCCATTCCCTACAATCTTTCTCATCCTCTTGAAACTGAGCAGGCTAAATTGCAGTCTCATAATGCTTCGTTGGAGTCTCTTGAGAGTCTTGAAAAGCTTATTACATTTCATGAGGAAGTTAGTAAAAATCCTAAAACTGAAGAATGTAAAAACATTTTAACAAATTTGTGCTCTGGCTTGGAGAAGTTCCTTGGATACCAAGAAACTTCCAAAGGCTACTCGGGCTCCGGCATCGTGTACTCGGACCTTGACAGGCTCTGCGACGGGGTGATGGCGTTTTTGCATGGTGTTCTTCAAAGTGTGAAGGGTGATGAAAACGTTACAACTTATGATAAATACATTAATGAAGAAGAAAATAAACTTAGTAATGTCCTTCAACATCTCCAATCTTCAATTGGCTCCGGGCGTGTTGGCCTCTCGGCGTCTGTCACCAAGGTGAGGGAGTGGTTGGGGAAATATAATGAGGAAGTTGATAGGAAGACAAGAGGAGTGACCGATGGATTATCTGCACTTATAGGTAAGTTACATGATGGGTCTAATTCTGTTTCAGGTGTGCATTATTACAAGATGGTTGAAGGCGAGGCGACCAAGGATCTCGGGACCCAGTTGTCGGACTGGACTACTACCGTCGGGATGATACAAGACGAAGTTAACAACATCCAAAACAGTAATATTAACGATCTAGATAGCGCACTTAAAGCACAGATAACGCACAAAATAGAGCCAGTTAAGAAAGTAGTGGAGCACCTGAAGGGGGTTGCTGAGAAGATGGCAGAGGGGGGGAAGGTGGGAGAGGTTGATAGTACCATTACTGAGAAGGAAACTCTCGTAAAAGAGCAGATCAGAATAAAAGCTGAGGAGCTTAGAGGCACATTAAAACAAAACCTAGATGACATAAATGGTAGAATAGATGCCATCGAAACACAGCGTACAACTACGTTGAAGGCCTTGAAGGATTCAGTCCAGCAGTTGGAGAATGCTGTTACGGCGGCTGACGCAGCGGCAATAAAATTGGATGAAGAGTATGAAAATGAGATCGTCAAAAAACTAGAAGAGATTAATCCAAAGGTTCAAGCGCTTGGAACGGAAAAAATAGCTAATGATCTTAGTAGCGTTTACAGCGCGATCAGTAGCCAGTTGGAGAAGCTGAAAGCGAGATTGGAGGCGTTTGGTGGACTTGGTGCAACGGTTCAGGGGGAGGTGGACAATGCATTGATCCATATTAAGATCTTTTTGCATAATGAGATTTCTTCACTCAAGGGGCAGTTAAAGGGGAAGTTAAAAACGTATGCGGAGGAATACATCCGGTTAGTTAGGCAGCAAGTCGAGGGCATTAGAGTTGCGATGGATATGGTGGATACCAAGAAGGGCGGCAGCACAAATAGCTCTCCTCTTCGCAGTCGAGCCATTGAAGCGCAGACTAACATCACGGGTCTAAATGGCGAACTTGACAAGGCTGCCAATGAGATTGGTAAATCAATTCACAACGCTGTACATGAAGCGAACCGTGGGCTTGGGTCGTTGGAGACCACTATCCTTAACGAATTAGAACAGGCTATAAAAGGGAAGATTAGTCAGCAGCTAAGTGCTATGAGTAGCAGCGGAGGGTATTCCGTTGGTAACGGATACGGTGGGATAGGGAATGGTGTTGAGTTTGCCAAGGGTATGAGCTACGGTATGAGTCAGGCTAAATCATCTGCACTAACTGCTGCTGCGGCTGCCATCGGCGATATAAAGCAAAACTTCGCTAATGTGTTCAGAAATGTTAACGCACAGATAAAAGGTGCAGATGGCAACGATGACACACTTAAGAAGAAAATCGAAAAGATTGAAACTGGCGTCAAAATGTTTTTCAACAATGGAACAGGAATTACAGGCAGGAGTGATGGATTCAACTTACTCAAGGACGGCCAATTTGGCAAATATAAGTCCCAAAAGGATAAAGCCGAAAGTGCCATCGGCCTAGTGCTTAAACAAATAGGTAAGCTTGAAGAAGTGTACCCTAAAGTCAAGGACCTTGACGATCAGCTTGGAAAGGCGCTGACTGGCGCCGTTGGCATACCGGGAGATAAGGTTAAGGTTGAAGACAGTGTTGATGCCAGGGTCGACGAGAAAATAAAGGCGGCGGATCCGCAACTCGACGAACTTTTGAAGAAGGCCGTTAAAAAGGGTATCACCATGTTGAATAAAGAGGTGACACATATTCATAGCCAACTTACTGGTGTTGAGCCTACGATTAGGCCGCAAATTGATAAACTGAATAAGGTGCCAAGCGGCGGCAGTCCAGGCGCCATTCAGGCGCAAATATCCGATCTTCAAAAACAGATCGATGAGCTCAAAAAACTGGTAAGCGGGGTTAACAATAAGGCTCGGAGTACTATAAAGACACAGGTGACGTCCTTGAAAGAGCAAGTCGCGCAGATTCTGGCAGGCATTACAAAAATTAATTCCGCCATCGAAGAGTTTGACAGGGCTTTGAAAAGCGCAATCCAACAAGCGCAGCAAGCTGCTAAGGCCGCCCGCAAAGAACTCGGTGATCTCATTGGCACAACGGAAACTGAACTAACGAAGGCAGCCAAAGCAGCCTTCGAAGCAGTCCACACCGCCGTGAAAACCATGTTCGCCGAAGGCCACAAGGCGGACTTGGCGCAGCTTAAGGAATTGGTCAGCGCTCAAAATGCTGCGATTACCGATATTATAGAGAAAGATAAAAAGAATGGTCTGAAAGGTTTAATGGCAAAAATGTACGAGACGGGTGGAGACAAGCTGAATGAGCTAAAAAATTACAATGATCCGAAAATTCCTGCACATTTCAAAGACCTATCTGACAAACTAAAAGACTATCTAAAATTAATTTTCGACTATATCAGCGCACAAGTCAAAACTACAAGTTCGTCGCCAACCAAGGAGCCAACCAAAATGCTGGGTGAAGTGCAAGGTAAACTTGAAACTTTGCTTGGAAATCTCAGTACGTCAAAACACTTTGATAACGTTTTTGTAACTCACTTAGAATCGTATTCCAGTGAACATAACACTTTCACGCCGTCTCAGTTCGCCGGCCCGGATAACGCTTTGCTCCTTGACGTGCTTCAGGAGGGGCTGCAGAGATTGCGTGATCAGCTCGACAGGGCGTACGTAAGTGCGTACTCTGGGGACTACTGGAATAATAATAACAAAGATAAGTGTGCTAATGTTTTCTGTACTATAATGCATACGTTCTATCGTGATCTTCGTGTGTTGCGTGATGGGTTGACGTCGGGTGCTTGGTATCACAAAAACATTTATCTATCCGACAGCAATCCTCTTGGTGCCTTTTTCAAAAATTGCGACTACGGCGTCTCCAAAACCGCAGACACACAAAATGGCGAGTTGAGAAATACAATTGATGGTAAGACCATTCTAGGCTTCCTTCATCAAGCGAATAAAATATTCAACAGCAACTTCTACAAGGGCCCTGCTATAGATTTGCACCGTCACATAAGAACATACTACACCGCCTGCCACCTTACATTACACGACTCTCCTAGATACCCTTCCACAGTCCGTGACATGTTATCCTGGTTGACGGGTCTTCCTTACACTGCGGTCTATCAGGGCATTAAGACACACTGTGACACGCTGCTTAAGAAGGAGATCACAGACGCTGAGAAGAAATCGCAGCCTGCGGATCCCGTAATAAGCAACATTCTCAGAGATGAATTGCGTGATAATCTAGATAAAACTTGCAAAATTTCGTATGATCTGCTCACAACCTTGCAAGGCCACGGTAATGGTTTCGATCAGGCTGAATACCGTTACGCTTCTAATTTCCGTGACAACTGTCAAAAGTTTTATTATCCCACGAACGTTTCCAGTTTATTTGCCATGTTAACGGAACTATGTACACGCTTGCTATATTCACTATATTTCGTGTACAGCCGCTGCCGTACACCATCCAAATATAATGGATGGTCTGACTGTACGTATGGTAATGCCGTCCAGGGATACCAATCGAATTGCAATATTGCCTCTCATACCGGCAAGGACTGTGATCCTAAGTCCTTGCTTCAATCCCACTTAATGGACAGACTGCCAGGTTTCCTGCCGCATAGTCTATCATCAAATGGCAACTCTCTTTCTTGTAACACTTGTCGCACTGCCCCCAGAGGCACGCCCTGCGTAACTCCAATGGGTTTCTGGGATATGACCACTGCTGCATCTGTGACCAAAAATGGCAACGCAATATGCGAGGTACTCAAAGGCCTGTGCAAAAATGCAGATTCGCCTCTACCTAGATTGCTACGTTCCCTGATGTTCATCTGCCCGACTGCACCTAAAAATCTTGCTGACTTGTTTTCAGTTTTCTGCAATGTTATGCAAATCTTCAAGGATTCCAAATATGCGCATAACTCTGAATACAAAACCACACTGGACGTAGCCATCAACAACTGTTTCCCATCTTCATATACAAAACTATTTCACAACGACTACAGTGCCACCAATCTCACCGATAAGCTGAGAGATTTGTACTGCTCCAGAAATGAGCATCCGGATCAATTATTGGACGCAACGCACCACGGTCTCCAAAGTTTGTCGCCAAATCCAATGTCTGATAAATCTGAACAATGCTCACTAAAACTTGCCACCTGCGCACCTTACCTTCAGGCACTTGGAAGCCACGCCCATCACACATACGCCCCCAAACACGCGGCTTTATACGTATCATGGTGCAGTTATTTGGTCTGGGAATTCTGGCAGTTACTAGACAGTTTACTTAAGGCTTTTAATAACATGTCATGTAAAACTTATGGGTGCTCATGTAACTGCCCACCTGGTAAGCACGGCGTCAATGACACCGATATGTCTACGCTTCAGAAACCTGGCCCTTCGAAACTACCCAACCCGAGTTGCCATTGCTCTTCGATCGCTGACTGCAGCGGTGTGTTATCGCTATTTTACCAATACGGATTTACATTCCGCATAACTAACAAATTAATGGATTATAGAACCCGAAAGACGTGCGACGATTTTGGTAAACAGTTACATAAAGTGTTGTACAAAGGATACTTCAGTACATTCTTTGACGAAATAGATAAATTTATGTGCGCCATCAGATGGCCGTTTATGCTAACGTTACTCACCCTCTGGTCGCTGTCGCTCCTGTACCTGCTGCACATCGCCGTCGTCCGCCTCGACGTCCTGAGGATACGCTCGCACCTGAGATCACCCGCAAGCCACCGCATCGCCGCGCAGTCCCTCCTCGCCGCCGCACGCGTCAGGGCACTCGCCAACGTCAAGTACTTCTCACCATAATCGTGCCTTCACGTGTGATCTGTGTATCACTCAACCACTCAACCACTCACCCACTCAACCACTCAACCACCCACTCACTCACCCACTCAACCACTCAACCACCCACTCAACCACCCACTCACACACTCACATACTCACCCACCCACTCACTCACTCACCCACTCACCCACTCACCCACTCACTCACCCACCCACCTCCTCTTTCACTGGTCGCTTCGCTCCCTGCCTCCACCCCTTCATCACCTCCTCCGTCGGCGTCCTTCACCCAAATCCTCATTTTCCACTTTCTCCCTCGACCCCCCAAACCGCCTTCACCCAACCCATCTTCCCCCTTCACCTCCCTCACCCTGTCCACCCTCACTCCCTCGCTGCCTCCTTGACCTAAAATCGCCTTTCCCCAAATTCCCCCAAATCGCCCTGAAAATGTGCCTAAAATATTCCTTCAACAACATTATTAAATAACCTTTGCACAGGCCTCGAAAAATTTCTCGGCTACCATGATGGTAATTACACCGGCTCCGGCATCGTGTACTCGGGCCTTGACAGGCTCTGCGACGGGGTGATGTGTTTCCTTCATGGTGTTTTAGATAACATTAAGCCTAAATTAGGCTTACATAAAGAGACATTAAATAATGCAATTGACTCTCTTGACACCCATAAACACTCTGGTAAAGATGGTTTTAATGAAGCGATTGTAAAGGTGGTGTTGGGGGTGAGGCAGTATAATGAGGGTGTTGTAAAGTCTAATACCTCTATAAAATCGCCAATATGGACATTCTTACAACCCTTCAAAAAAGATAAAGGTGAGCTAATGAAACAAATTAATGCTTTGCAGGTGTCTGATGTGCCAAGGCAAGCGGAGCAGGAGGCGTCCAAGGCCAAGAGCCTTGTGGAGTCGTGTCTTCGACACTCTAATGTCTTTGATAGCGCACTTAGCAAACTAACTAAGGACATTAATGATCTTAATGCACAGTGTAAAACTAGTGTAAATAGCTCACATAAGAATGTGAAGTATGAGATTAAGCGACTGGAGCAGCTGTCCAGTAGGGAGCATGGCGACTTGGCGGCCATGATTAAGTTGATCGGAACTAAGTTGAACGGCCTCGGAGTGGAGGTCAAAGACGAAATTTGCAAGCAGGTGAGAGACCTTGTTGAGCACTTGAAAGGACGGGTTCAGCTCATTAAGCTTCAGCTTGAAGATGTTAACAAGAGTCTGAAGGAGTACCTGAAAGATATTGACCAGTGGATGTCAGAGGCGGATAGGATTGTTGATGAGAACACCAGCCAGACTGGTTTCATTATAGATAAAAAGCCTGGGTGGGAGTATCGACAAAAACTTGAGAAGCTGCCGGATGAAATGAAAAAGTTTGGAGAGAATCCTCGAAATATATATTAGCGGCGTGAGAGATCAATTGCAGAGTAAAGTTCAGGAAGCTAGGCAGAATCTTGAAAAGCTGGATAAGGTTTATAAGAATAAATTGTGGAGCATTGCGGAGGCTGTCAAACAAGTTGAGCCGGCCATTGAGAAGCTTGGAGGTGTTATTGAAAATGGCGATGCGGACGTAGGAAAAGGTAAAAATATCAAAAGTATTGTGAACCATGTTAAAGGGAAGGTGGAGGGTATTCAGGGCATAAAAGGGCTGCAAGGAATAAAAAATGGAGTTGTGACGTATGCGATGGGCGTTGCCAGGAATATGGAGGATGCGACGATCGTTACGTGGGTATCGGAAATAGCGAAAAATAATGAAACTGTGAATAGGGATATTGGTTACTACTTCAAAAAGAGCGGCGACCTGCAGAAAGCGATCAAGGCGATAACAAATAAAATTAAAGGGATTGTATCGAAAGTTGGCAAGAAACCCAGCGATCAAGGCGACGTAAAGTCTATACTGGCAAGCATTCATAAATATCATCAAGCCGTTGCTGAGGCGGTTAGAGAAAAGCTTGCGTGGAAGGAGGTTTGTAACATTGCCAAAGAGGTCGAAGACGAGCCGGAGTTAAAATCAACGTCCAAGAGTCCCACTTTTAAAATGGGCTTCGAATATGCCGTGCAAACCATTCTGCGGCATGTCTATACATCAGCATCAAACCTCGCCACGGAATTTGAATCCTTCGTTAGCACAAAAAATACAAATTTGGACACCAACATCGACACTGCTCTTAGTGAGGCCGAACCGCTTTTTAAGCATCTTAATCAGGCGGTCGCCGGCACCAACCACGCCCAAGCCGTCGACACCGCGATCGCGCAGGTGCAGACGCAGGTTCAGCATATTTCCGGCCCAGCAGACAACGTAAATCTAGGCGACAGCTCCATCAACTCCGAACGCGACGCCGCTTACAACCCCCTCGAGCAAGCGATCCAGGGCATAAGCAGCGAAGCAAGTCTACTCACTGTAAAAGCCACCAGTGACGCCCTCGGTGATTGGGGCGAGAAAATAACAAAGCATCTCACCCAGCTGTTGCAAGAATTCTCCAAGGCCGGCGAACAGGTCAAATGGAATTTAGGCATACTGAAAGACGAGCAGATTGGGAAAAAGCTTAAGAACATCAGACAGCAACTTGAGAAGCTCCAACAAGGCCCGGTGACCAAGGCCCTGAATGAAGCCAACGATATTCTGAAAAAAGCAGAAGAAGTGACAGCCAATACACTGAGGCCTCTGAAAAACAAAGTTGACCAACAAGTCTCATCCGCAATCTCCGAGCTGAGTACCCTAGCCCGCAAGCAGTACATTTCTTCTATCAAATCACTGCTCACCGAATTCTCCAAGAAGGTTGAGGAGGAGCTGGAAGGAGTACCCGAAGAAATCGAAAAAGATTTGGAGCAGGGGCACAAAAAATTCATGCAAATAATGTATGAGCCTTTTGTGACGAGAGTCAAAAGAATTGAAGATGTTGATCCGAATAAGTTTACGAAAGCAGAGCCTCCACTGCACCAAGCGGCAAGAAGGTTAAGTGGCGCAATAAGTGCGTTATTCAGCAATTGCCAAAAGGTTGCAGATTTAAAGTCAGACTTCGGCATAATGAAGCCTACACAAAAGGCTCTTGACAGAGTGCTTACAGGCCTCTGGGCATCCAATCATTTCGACAACAAATTTTCTAATAATTTGGATGCACTGAATGATACGTTGGCTACATTCAATCCTAAGACATACGGTGAGGGAAAGTATCCTTATATTCTCGAGGCCTTTAGAAAAGGCTTCGCGGCATTATTCACAAAGCTGGAGCACGCGTACGTGAACGCCTACAGCGGTATGAAATTCACTAGATTGTTAGCACCTAAAAAAGTAGATGAGTCGGAAAATGTTCCCGATCCACAACGTCACGCCTCAAATGTTGTTTCCACCTCCGGTCAACTGTCTGATCCCAGCCGAACAAGGCGTTCCGCTCCCGCCGCCAGCAGTCCTGTTCCCAGCACTCAGCCAACAGCTCCCCCCGTCTCTGGCCAAAAGGCCGAGACAGAGTATGAGTTAACCCCCGAGGGCCGCGACTGCGCAAAGGTCTGTGTCACCATTATGGAGCGAGTGAAAAATCATCTGTTTGTTTTGGAAAGAGAATGTAACTCTGGTGGCAGGTGGCGCCATAATAGTATTCGTTTGTATGACCATACAAATGGCAGGAAAACTGATAACCCGCTTGGCACATGGCTGAGGGACCACGGCTTCCGAGTGCCGTCCGAGGAGGGAAAGCAAGATGGCGAATTGCGAAATAACCTTGGCTTCACCGGGCATAAAATGAAAACTACACTGCTTGACCACAATATTCCCGGCGCTTCGCAGGTTCGATCCCTACTTAACTGGGTGACTGAGGAGAGGAAAAATGCTTCTCCGGGCAGCAAAAAGAGTGCCACGGGAATCGATGTCTTCGACATTGCCCACTGCCTCCGCGACCTTTTCAGGAAATACTATGAAGTATGCCACCATGAGCATGTCGATTCGCCTAGAGCACCAAGTAACATCTACGATATGCTTCAGTGGCTTGGTGGCCTGCGGTGGAATCCGATGTACAGCAAACTGAAGGAGCACCTTAGGACATTGTTCCCCAAGCCTTTGAAGGATGATTCCAGGGATTACAAGGAGATTCCCGCAAAGGACTTGCAACTGGAAGCGTATCCTAAGACAATCACGTATGACGACTTGAGCGATGAACTGCTGCAAAGTGTTTGCATATACGCTCAAGATGCGTTGATCGGCATACTGGGCCACGGGCACGCTGACGGTGTATATGCCTGTAACTTTTTCACAAATACACATAAATTATCCTATCCTAGCAGCGTTGGTTCATGCTTTGACATGCTCATAGACATAGTATTTAAAGTGCAACATCAACTTCATTTTGTATATAAGCAGTGTTGCGATGCAACAGCACTCAGCGGTTGGAGTGACTGTGTATACGGCAACGGAGTTGGTGGCTCTGGATGGCAATGCAATCGGCTCCAATGCCCTAACCAAAACACTGACCAAACACATAACCAAACACATAAGCAAACATGTACCCAAAAGTGTGACCAAACTGTTAGTTGTGGCCTTAAGTCGCCGCTCCAATCGTTTTTGGAGGACGGTTTGCAGGGGTTCTTGCCGCACCCTATGACGAAAGTTGGCTGCGGAGTTAAGTGCTCCGTCGGCAGCCACAGAGGTCAACCGTGCAAAACGCCGATGGGCTTCTCGGACATAAGCGTAACGGCCTCTCATGTCAAAAAGGGGGCTCATCTTGCCGGGGTTCTTGACAGTTTCTGCGGTCCTACATCCCACCTAAGTAGGTTGTGTCGTAAGCTGAATTGCCTCCTTCGTAGAGCGCCGCAAACTCTTGGTGATATGCTTGCCTTTTACCACAAATTCCTATATGAATGGAACGGACAGGGTCGTATGCACAGGCAGGATGCATTCTTGCAGGCCGTTAATGACGCAATTTTTGGCGAACAGTATGGAAAGTTGGACGTTGTATCCATACAATCCGGCAGAACGCACACTGAGAAACATTCCAAGGTGATCTATTTAGTTTGGTGGACTGTCATACATCTCCAACAGTGAATACTCCCGTCGGTTCCTGCGGTCCATATTTGGAGTCAATTAGTAATGACATCCGCCGAACATTCTCCGAAAAGCGCGCTGGTAACTATCTTTCATGGGTGGTATATATCACAGAGACATTCTATGACCTCCTTAAAAAACTGTACGATGACTGCTGCAGTAACTGCAACAAGGCAGGCACCAGGTGCTATGACAGAAGCTGTGCAGGAAAATGTGCCATAAAATTAGCCTACGATGCCGAGAAAGCTGGTGAGCAAGCAAAACAATCATCTCCGTCCCAGAGTACCAGTCATCAAAGTAAATGCCACTCCATCGTAACATGTCGAAATATGCATCCTACACTTTATAAGTACGGTTTCACCTTTGGTAGTCCACACAAACTCAGCGGTGAGGACAAGACAGTGGAGCATCACAAAAGAACGTGCAAGGATTTCTGTATAACATTAGGCATTGTAATTAAAGAAGGCAATGTACTCTACAACCTAGTGCATAAGGTAATTCCAGATTATTTGTTTGCAATACGTTTCAAATTCGTCTGGACTCTTGTCGCCCTCTGGTCGCTGTCGCTCCTCTACCTGCTGCACATCGCCGTCGTCCGCCTCGACGTCCTGCGCATCCGCTCCCACCTGAGATCACCCTCAAGCCACCGCATCGCCGCGCAGTCGCTACTCGCCGCCGCACGCGTAAAGGCACTCGCCAACGTCAAGTACTTCTCACCATAATCGTGCCTTCACGTGTGATCTGTGTATCACTCCACCACTCCACCACTCACCCAACCACCCACTCCACCACTCACCTAATCACCTAATCACTCACTCACCTAATCACCTAATCACCCACTCACCCACCCATACTCTCACTTACTTATATACTTCACCACTCAACCATTTCACTCTACTTACTCACTCCACTCTATTTACTTCACTCTAACCATTTCAACCACCCAACCATTTAATTCACCACTTCATATACTTACTTCACTTCAATTCACTTACCCACTTACTGACTCAACCACCCACTCTCTCACATACTCACTCACCCCCTCCTTCACTGGTCGCTTCGCTCCCTCCCTCCTCCATCACCTCCTCCGTCGGCGTCCTTCACCCCAAATCCTCATTTTCCACCTTCCTCCCTCATCGCCCTCTTTCGCCCCTTCACCTCCCTCACCCTGTCCACCCACCTCCCTCGCTGCCTCGCTGCCTCCTTGACCTAAAATCGCCTTTCCCCAAATTCCCCCGAATCGCCCTGAAAATGTGCCTAAAATGATCCCCCTTTACTTCTTTTAACCCTCCCCTAATCCACCTTTAATCCAACTACAATGACCATTATAATGACGTTCATTACCTTACCGATGATGCCAGGGGAAAGCCTTGGATGATATTGATGCCCACCGTATCTCTCTTGGTCAGCTTGCTGGACAACTTTCGGATTTTATTGGCGGCGGAGAGGAAGTCAAGAAAGCGATTTTGAATGGTTTGCACAGTAATGTAACTCAGCTTGAAAAGCTTGTTAAAACATCTTGCGGAGATAAGGGGTGTTGTAAGGATGCTGTGAATTTCCGTGTTGGACCTCTTAAAAATCTTCAAGAGCAATTTAATGACATTGATAAAATTGAGAGAGAAATTGATGGCCTTAAAAATGAAATTGCTGAAAAAAGGAAGGCGTCCGAAGGGACGCCGCCCGGCAGTGATACTGAGATTCAGAAGCTTACAAGGGAAATTGAAGAAAAAAAATTGAAGCTTGACGAGCAAAAAAGGCTTGTTGATCAGCAAATTAATAACCTTAATGGTGCTTTAAATGAGTTTAATAAGAAATTTTCTCGACAAGTCTCTACACTTACTGCAAGCGTAAGACAGTGTGAAGAGGAAATTGAGCGGTATAAAGAGAGTGAAAAGGCCTCTAAAAAAGATCTTAAAGATGCAGATATCTCCATTCCCTACAATCTTTCTCATCCTCTTGAAACTGAGCAGGCTAAATTGCAGTCTCATAATGCTTCGTTGGAGTCTCTTGAGAGTCTTGAAAAGCTTATTACATTTCATGAGGAAGTTAGTAAAAATCCTAAAACTGAAGAATGTAAAAACATTTTAACAAATTTGTGCTCTGGCTTGGAGAAGTTCCTTGGATACCAAGAAACTTCCAAAGGCTACTCGGGTGATGGCATCGTGTACTCGGGCCTTGACAGGCTCTGCGACGGGGTGATGTGTTTCCTTCATGGTGTTTTAGATAACATTAAGCCTAAATTAGGCTTACATAAAGAGACATTAAATAATGCAATTGACTCTCTTGACACCCATAAACACTCTGGTAAAGATGGTTTTAATGAAGCGATTGTAAAGGTGGTGTTGGGGGTGAGGCAGTATAATGAGGGTGTGAGGGAGGGGAACAAAAAGGTTGCCGATGAAATATCCTCATTAATGACGCAGTTAGGTAGATTAAAAGATGACACAAAGAGGTTCGACAATCATAGATATATTCATCAAATTGACACAAAAGTGAGTGACTGTCTCGATAAAGTTTACAGGTTCAATTTGGCTCTTGATGTTACGAACCAGAAGAACGTAGAGGATTTGTCTCCACAATTACAGCATAATGTAAAGAATTCCAGGAAATATGTTTACTATCACCGTGATAGACTGGAGGCAATTTGGAAGAAGCTTAAGACTGATAGGGATGAAGTGATTGCGTTGGTTGATAAGCAACTTGGTGATGTAAAAAGTTCAATTAATACAACGACTGCGCACAAAATAAGAGAGTTTGTTCAAAAATTGAATGCTCAGATTTATAAGCTTCGAAATGAAATCGAGGACGTTGATAAAAAATTGAAAAATCATGTTGATGAGCTGGACAACTGGATTAACAAGGCTCATGAAGCCGTGGAGGCGGGGTTAGTAAAAGTTACGGAAATTATGAATCATGTTAGTGGGCCTAAGGCTCAAAATAAGGAAGAACTTTTGAAAGCTGTTGACGATATAAAGAATAAAGGTTTGACGTTGTTCAAGGCATATGAGACGGCGGAGAAGTCCCTGGCTCCATTGTTTGCAGACATAGGTACGGCGGTTGAGGGGTTGGATGGAAAGATAATTGAGGGCTTGGAAACTTTGAAGAGTGAGATTAAGAAAAAGTTGGAGACATATATTACGCAGCTGGCGACATATAAATGGTCGGATGCTGTCGAGGGCTCGTCTTTTTATAACCTGTCTGAAATATCAAATTTCGATAAATTTAAAGGAATATTTAAGGAATGGCTTTGTCAGGCTGCTGAGCACGGCATACCAGACATAGGCAGCGTGCGCAGTACCCATAACTCATCCATCGGTCTCAAAATAGTATTGCATGGTCTTGACTATCTAAAACAGCGCGTTGAAAAGGCGGGAACGAATGGATTTGGCGCTTTATCTGAGGACCTTCAGGGTGAAATTGATGCCGTAATGAGTCAATATGTGAAAAGCAGTCAAGCGTTAAAAAGCAAAATGACGGGTTATGCTACTCATGTGGGAGCGAGCGGCCCGGGCACTCTGGTAAGTGCGCTTGATAAAGGCAGAAGTAAGATTTTGGAACCGTTCAACCATCTAAAAAGTACAGCCGACAGCAATAGCATCAAGCAAGTTGTGTCCACTTTCAACTCTCACTTTCAACAACTCTGCACTGCAATCTTAACGGCAGTGGCTATAGGCGACCAAAGTGCCAGAGGGAAATTGGAGGAGTTGAAGACATTTATTTCGAAGATTAATAACGAAGCCCCTGGAAGTCTACACAATCTCCACAAGCAATTGGGAGAGTTAAGAACCGATAAGCTGGAACCGTTGATGAAGGAAGCCGAAAACATTATTACGAATGCCACCTTACAAAGTGATGTTCACATTTCCACACTCAAACAACACGTCAACGAACAAGTCGATAACGCCAGATCCAAAATCGTAAATGAAATTAGAAAACGATACGTGCTCTTCTTCAAGGAACAGCTCACTACCTTTTCTAAGAAAGTCGACGAGGAACTCCACGACCTTCCTACCAAAATCACGAATGACTCCAATCATGGTTTTAAAGGGCTTATGCAATTGCTACAACGTGTTCTGAATTCCCGTCTTGAAAGGGCAAATACATCCGGAAACTTGGGTGCATTCTCTCCCAGTGCAAACGCATTTTTCCTTGATGTGCTTGCTGCCCTAAACACAGATCGTAAGATCATGCCCGCCACTTACCTCTCCGATTTGCAAAACAAACTAAACACCCTTCTCTCATCCCTCTCCAAATACGACCGCCCCTTCCAAAAAAATCTCTCCGCCCTTGCTTCCACCCTCTCCACCATCCGCCCCGCTTCGTACTCCGCCCCCACCAATCCCCTACTCGACGTTCTAAAAACAGGCCTGACAGGGATGCACGATGAGCTCCAAAAGGCGTACGTGTCGGTGTATGACGGTGAGGCGTGGCAGCCGGAGCACGAAAACAAATACGCGAAAATATGTTTCACCTGTTTGCCCACCTTAACTACCGCATTGACTGAGCTTAGGGAACAGTGTGAAACAGATGGCGACTGGAAGACAGAGAAACTGTGCCTAATGAATTCAACCGCCTCTAATCCCCTCGGCAATTTCCTCGATCAGTGTGGCTATACAGTAGCGCAAAATAATGCTTCTAAGGACGGTGAGTTACAACATAAGAGTGAATGGAATGGCCAAAAGATTCTTGCAGACTGTCTGCAAGCAATTCCCAAGGCTGCTGACATTGACCATCTTAAGACTTGTATGCCACGTCAAAAACAATTCACCGTCCTGGAACTCCTTCGGTGTATCCTCTCACCGTAGCGAATTTTTCCAGGTTGGCCATATTTCCACTTTCGCAGCCAGGAAGCATCCCTCTTCTGTTAACGAGATGCTTGTCTGGCTTACCGGTTTGCCACATAATTTCGCGCACAAAACACACAAAACGTATGTTAAGACGTTGTACAAGGTGCCGGATGGAGCTGGTAAGCCACCTAAGCGTGTTCAATTCATCGACGCCCATCCGTCACCAATCGGCTATAGAGACATTGACAACGCAATTAATAACATTACATCCCTATCTCCCACTCTCGTGACAGCCATCGTCGGTCACGGCGACTTGCATAGCTTGTATGCCTGCGACCTTTATGACAACTCCATGAAATTGCATTATCCTCAAAGCGGGAGGATTGCTTCAACATGCTAGTTGACATCATTCGTAGATGTTTACCCCGTTGAAATTCTTGCTCACCCAGTGCAGTCGTAGACCTGAACGCTGTGGTTGGGGCGGTTGTCTTTACGGCAGAGATGTCATGACAACTAACTCTCAATGTAATTACCACTCAACAGGTCAACCAACGTGCCAATCAAGCAGCCAACCTACCGACCAACCTGAGTGCCAAGCAACTTGCCGACCTACGTGCCAACCAGCGTGCCGACCAACATCGCCACTTATGTCCTACCTAAATGATTGTCTTCCCGGCCACCTACCGCACCAATTAACCAGTGTAGGTTGTAGATCCGTATGTACCACCTGCCCTGGCGGTAAACCTGGGCAGCCTTGTTTAACTCCTCTTGGTTTCAGAGCCTTTTCTGGGTCCACTAAATCAGGTCTGCATTTAAGTGAGATCATTGATGCGTTCATTAGGGGCTCTAATATTTCACCCCTATTATGCGTTATACCGAAGCCACCATCTACGTTGCCAGAGCACATCGCCTTTGCGTTGTCATTGGTTAACGGTTGGCGTCACAGAGCCACGCATCCGTTTAGGAATGTGATCGAGTTGTCCATTCGTGATGTTTCCATTGACCTGGTCTCGGACAGTTCCGATCTCACCAACGCATTCGTTGATGCATACGGTTCCCAATCTGCTACGCACACCAATTGCAACCATGCGCATCTCATGAGCATCATAGACTCCGGCGTATGTAAAAGCAATGAGAACATTTTCTGCACTCCCAACGTCTCAAGCTTGTGTCGTGAATCATACGGCTACTTCGTGAACAAACACTCTAACCTCTACCTGTCATGGGCGCTCTATCTACCATGGCAACTCTTGCTGTATCTTGAAGCATTGTGCGATGCATTCAAAATATTTTTTTGCCACGATTGGGATGCCGTTCATGCTTGAATGGATCTACTTGCAAGAGGGGGAACATGGTCTTAAAGACAATTGTGGATGCCCCTCCATCGTAAATTGCAGAGGTGCCTTGCCCACCTTATATCGATATGGAGTTACATTCGGCGAAGATTGGACATCTAACAACGCAGGTAAAGCGACAACGTGCTTCGATTTCTGTACTCAATTAAACAACATACTAAAATCATCGCATTTCTCAGAACTATTCAAGGCGATCGACAACTTCATCTATTGCATCCGCCTCCCATTCATGACCTTACCTCATTCTCTCTGGTCGCTGTCGCTCCTCTACCTGCTGCACATCGCCGTCGTCCGCCTCGACGTCCTGAGGATACGCTCCCACTTGAGATCACCTTCCAGCCACACTCGCCAACG